TATAAATATTATTGAATGCTTTAGTGTAGTATTGAAATTTACCGAAATTTGGTATAATATAAACTAACAAATCTACACACAAATATTGGAACTATTCCATAAACTAATGGCACCCAGATCAAAAGAAAGAAAAATACAAGTTTTTGTGGTGATAATCACAAGTAAAGACAAGATATATCTGTAATAAATTATATATAAATTATGTTCCCATATTAATTGAAGTGAGCTATATATGTAAATATGAACAGACAAATACTTAAACTTTAGTTTAGAGTTCTCTAAAATTATTTATAGGTTAGGTTATGCCGATGTGCCAAAGAATTAACTTAGACTGATTGCCTAATTGTGTTGCCGTACAAGGAAAATCTGATAGGTTTAAAAACCAGCTTGAAGCTGCCTAAATCTGTTTTATTGCCCAAGAACCTAAAAAAAACTTGATTGTAACATATAGATTTTAATGATCGAGCTACTCATGAAAACCGGGCTACACGAGGAAATTGGACTAACATAGTCATGAAACCGAGTTAGTCATGAAACCCAGGTTAGATATAACAACCGGGCGAGTCATAAAAACCGTATAAATGGTTAGGTAAAGTCTGAGTGAGTGGTGAACTAAACTGATCATCGCAATCATTCAACCTAACCTAACTAACAAATATACCTGACTAATTTATTTAAAAGATATGTGCATTATTTTTAGTTATCACGTTTGAATCTGCTAACTGAATTATATACACAAAATTCCAAACTCCACACATAAAAAAATTTGTATATTTTATTTAATATATCGGAAAGTAATAATCAATTGTTTTTTTTAACATATATTGTAGGACACCTTTCAACGCAAAGGTTTGCAGTTGGAGAGGTACTTATGCTAATCAGACCACATATTCAATAGTAAATTTATCTTTATTATCATTTAACCAATCTGTAAATCATCAGATGATTTCACCCATAACAATCTTCTGTTGAGTTGTATAAAGCATATAGTTTTTAATAAATTCTTCAGCTAATATGAAAATAAATACGATTAAAAAAAATGAAAAAATCACTTGTATTGTAAGATGCTTACCATCTTAAGCGAACAGCACAGTGTTTCTTAGATCTGGGTCCAGTGACAATGAAATGCAGAGTGAAACGGAAAAGTCGTTGAACTGACGGGGAAATGGTGTACTTTGCAAGAAGCCCTTATAGTATTAGTGTTTATTCAATTTAATGTCATTAAATAAGCTATTATCACAAAATATCTAATATCAAGTAATCACTATAGAACATAATAGCTTGGTCACAATCTCAAGCAAAGAGGAACTTAAAAACAGAAAGCGAAAGAATCTCTTTAAACAGACGGTAAGAATTATCGCTAGTAAATAGAAAGAGAAATTTCTCTAGGTAGTAAGTACCAGGTGCTGGCTAATTACAGAGCAGTCTATTAAAATGAGACTTCTCATATTATCTGTTACAGTTACTATTAAATAGAGATAAAAAAAATTTTACTAGTTTCTGAATGCAATTTTTCAATATTGATCAAAAGGTATCTCTAGAAATTTTAGTAGATATGAAATGATCTTCTCCCTTCGCATTTTTTTGAATGGTTCCCGAATTAATGTAGTGGCTTCAATCGCACTTGAACAAACTGAAATTTGCACAGCACTACTTTTTCCGTAACTTATGGCTTTTCTGATATACCTATAAGATAAGGAGCACAATTTAAACAAATGAGTCAAGACTTAATTTTGTATAATATTGTAAACATTGATGTAAATTATGGTTAATTACGAATCACGAAAACATCTTGTAAGTTGGATTTTGACTGAACTAATTGTTAACAACTATTTTAAAATAACTAAGGCCTTACTTATGCAATGTCATGTTTTACTAATAATGCATAAATCGTTGTTGAAATGTCGACCATAGACTTTATGTAAAATCAAAAAATGGTACACAGGTGGTTATATTGTTATGTATTGTCATAGGTGAAATTTAACAGGTTAAGAAGAAATTTAGGTTAAGAAATTGAGAATATCGAGGTCCAAGCCAATTAAGAAAGTAATAGTTCAAAACAAACCCACACAAACAATATAAATACAGCTTACATTAAACATGAAAATCAGTACTTAGGGAAATTAATTATAAATCAGGGATGGTCAGCAAAAAAAAATTGATCTATTATAAATCAACAAAATAATAATATCGTATATCAAACATAAGTACTAGTTGTCAAGAGATTAAAATAAATACAAAAAAAATTAAATAAGTAACAATTTTGGAATCACCCATTCATAAATATGTAAAAGTCGTAAAGGATATTCCCTTTAAGCAGCAATATGGCACGATACAAACTGATAATATAATAATAGGTGAAAAATTCCTACAAGATTTCACATATACACAACAATACAATATGATACAATGAACTACATATTATTATTATTTTTTTATTTATAATTATTTGATCACAATTCTAATTATTATTTATTTTAATTCTTATTATTATAATGTTATTATAATTTTTATTATTACTGTATTGTAATTCTTACTACCATTTTATTGTAATTCTTATTATAAGTTTATTATAATTCTTATAATAATTTTATTATATTTCTTATTATTATTTAATTATAATTCTTATTATTATTTTATTATAATTCTTATAATAATTTTATTATAATTCTTATTATTATTTGATTATAATTCTTATTATTATTTAATTATAGTTCTTATGTTTTGTTGTAATTCTTATACTAATTTTATTATTATTTTATTTTAATTCTTATTATTATTTTATTATAATTCTTATTATTATTTAGTAATAATTGTTGTTATCATTTTTTATAATTCTTATTACTATTTTATTTTAATTTTTAATTTGTATTTTATTATATAATATTATATATTATATTCATGTACGGTATATGGTATAATAGTATATTATATTAATTATACAATACTGAAAATTTAAAGCATTTATATTATTATCCAACAAGTTGCTTAAACATAATGCAATGAAGTAATAAAAGTACAGTACTTTCTCGGCAAGACGAGCATACTGCGAGTCCTAAAGAAAATGAAAAGTAAGAAGCAGTCGGGATAATCCAGACATAGCAAAATCTTTTGTCCTTATCTAGTTAAACCCGGAATTAAGAACAAGCTTTATCTCTATAATTGGTAAACTAATTTTCATTAGTTTGTAATCATATATTCATCATATATATAATATAACATATATTGTATATATAGTATATATCATATATAATAGGATCATATATTTTTATTTATTATTCATAATATTCATATATTTTCATATATTACATGTATTTGTATATTTATATATTCATATATTATATATTTTTATACATATGGTATTCTATATGTTTAAGGACAATTTAATTTGATACTTTGGTCGTTAATGTATAGTTTCTGTCCGTACGAAATTTTTCGACTTTCGTTTCGGAGTATGATTGTTAGGCAGTTCTGTCGCGTAAATACACACTACAAATATATTATTTTATGACTATATAACATATTAATAATTTTTAAAAATTAATGTTTATTATTTATTATAACAACATCTGCATTATTTTTCAATTAGCAAAAAAATGATTAATATTATATTATATTATTGTATTCATTGTCTTTATTTCTTGGAATAATTGTCGATATGTACACTGAAGATGGCCTACGAAGTAATCCGAAATATGTATATTAAAATATATTTTTTTTAAATATAAACAAAATTTTACCAAAAACCTAGTAAGTATTACTTACTAAAATTTGAGTTGGTAAATAAAAATAACCGTCGTTAAGTCCAATTAAATAAAATTTTATTGTTTAAATATGCTTTTGATTATCCATAGTATTATGTTCCAATTTTTATTCTGATTATCAAGAACATATTGTACATATTATAAATGATAAGTACAAAATATAAAATATTATTAATGTTTTTTTTCAACGTTTCATATAGTGATTTTTCATTTATCCCCACATATCAGAGACATATCAGAAATTTTGACCCTTTGCTAGGTTTGGGTTCATAAATTTAATTTAGTATCAGCTTAAGATTTCTTTTAACATATATTTCTCATAATTTTTATCATTTTTATCGATAGAAATTACAGTAAAAAATAAATTGTTAAATATTCTAATATTAGATAAAGTTTATCAAAGACTCAATCTCAAAAATTTAAAAACCTTCTACGCTAAAACGAGGGGAGTAGTGACTGTCTAAAATCTTCTACACTTAAACGAGGGAGTAGTGATTGTCTAAAATCTTGTACAATGAGAAGAGGGGAGAAGTGATTGTCAGCGACGGTAGTTGTTATTAGTTTATATTACAAAAACTTCTAATTTAAGTGCATATATATTTCAGTTCATAATATATAAATGTATTTAAATTAATTTTTATTTAATATTTACTAAAAAATTCAATCCATTCAATTTAAATTAAAAGTAAAATAAAATAAGAAAGGAATTAATTTGAATATTTTTTTTGTTTTAATTTTTTTTTTTTTTTTAATTTTTTATAATTTAAATTGACCACCGCATGCACAGCAATTAATTGCATCCTGCGTCGCTTGAAAATTTAAATTCAATAACAAAAATAATTTTATGGCATTTGTTAATTAGCTCATAAAAACTGACAATGTCAGACCATAAAAAACATGAGATCAATTTTAGATATTTCCTGACATTGTCCCACAATTATTTAATTTTTTTTTTAGTGAAATTTAAATAGAAAAACTTTCCGCTCTATTGCGCACTTCCCGCATCCCGTTGGGCCTGAAGCTTTCGTTGCACATTTAATGATCGCACATAAATTTATTATTTGAAAAATGTAATAAAAATTAAAGTTCAAAGCGTTTTGACATCAAAACTCAATTAAGAAATTTTCATCAAATTTGATGATATTATAATTAAAATGCCGCCAAAAACGGCGCACTCAAAGCCTACAGATCGCATTATGGAAACAGAGTCTCAAAACAAGCCATGATGACACTTACTTGATTGACTACGGGGTCGAGTACCGTAAATTGACACTGCAGGTTCGATGCCTGACAGGAAGGAAATCCAAGTTGAGTTCTCTGTTGAGCTAGGTTTTGTTCTGGACACGAAGGATATCACTGGACACAGTTAAAATTTGTTTATTTCAGCATTTCAGGTTATTACATTTTTTTTTTATTTCTTTGAATTTTTTTTTATTAAACAATTATTTTTCACACAACTTGAATAGGTTTTCAATTAATTCTTAATTTTTTTAAATATTTTCTTAATATTCTTTCTTTTTGTTTGTGCCAACTGCACTGTCAAATTTATTTTTATTTCTTAAGTATTTTCACAAATTTCTTGATCTCAATTTAGAGATAAATATTAATTTATTTTTGTTCCAAATTTTGTTCAAAAAAAAATTTTTTTTCTATATATTTTTTACAGTAATTATTTTTAATTTTTTTTTTTAATAATTTAATTTATTATTTAGAATTTATTTTCTCTTTTTCTCACACAATTTCAAATTCAAATGTAACCGTTTATCAGTTGTCATTCGTGTTATTTGACTGCCAAAGCAAAAATTGAACTAAACGCCACTGTACACAAAACATTGAACATTCATTGAAAATGCCACAAATCCAAAATGAACTTTCCGTCAATTGAACCGTCTTAATGAGCGCGTCTAATATGACTGAATTTACGTCGCAACAAGCCCATCAAATGTTGCAAGAAGCACAACGATTGGCCAACAGTCGTCGAACAGTCACACATATTTCTGCTCGCAAATCGGTTCGCACGCACGAAGCGCATAAACCCAACAACAATGCACACAACGTTAGGGCACGAAGTGAAGTTTGTCTACCTTCGTAAATTTATGTTTGATGAAGGGCAACTGTAGCACTCTGTAGCACACTGTAGCGGTGGCAACAAAACAACACCACCAGCCGCAACAACAACAACAGCAACACCAGCAGCAACTACATTGAGAATGGTAATAAAGTTAACAGCACCAACAACAATGTCATATCGTAATAACTGTATTATAACCATTACAACAGTTAAGGGAATAACGGTGCTACTGTCTGACTACACAAACTACACTCCTTGTGTATTTTACAGTAACATGAAGTTGCAACTCAACATTACCACTGTTAAAGATGCTGTTAGTGGTAATGTTAAGCACTGAATTCGCCGCAATAAAATGCGTACCAAAGGATGGTTTGAATGAAATAAAAGCGTAAGTGTTAGCAGTAATAAATTCAAAGTTTTTTATTTAATTTTTTTTTTTAAAGTCTTTTATTTATTCCTAACCATATTTTTTTTTAAATTTTTTATTACATATTTATTAAAATTATTATTTAAATTTTAATTTAAATTATATATTAAATTTGTGTTTAAATTTTTATTTGAATTATCATTTAAATTTTTATTTGAATTTTTTATCAAATATATAATTAAATTTTTGTCAAACTTTTTTTTAAATTTAAAAATTTAAATATTTTTTATTAAATTTTTACTTAAATTTTTAATTAAATTTATATTTAAATTTTAATTAAAATCTTATTGAAATATTTACTTAAATATTTATTTAAGTTTCTGTTTAAATTATCAAATAAATTTCTATTTAAATGATTAATTAAATTTTTATTAAAATTTTTATCTAAATTATTTATATTATAATTTCTATTTAATTTCTTATTTAAGTTTTAATAAAATGTTTAAATTGTTTTAAGTTATTATTTTTATTTACATTTTGATTAAAATTTTATTGAAATTTTTATTTAAATTTGAATTTAAATATTTATTTAAATTTCTATTTTCATTTTGATTTAAATGTTAAGTTAAATTTTAATTTTAGTTTTATTTAAATTTTTTATTAAATTTTTATTTAAGTTTTCATTTTAATTTTCATCAAAATTTTTATTAAAACTTCTACTTAAATGATTAATTAAATTTTTATTCAAAATTTTTATTTAATTGTTATTTAAATCTTTATTTGAATTTTTATTTAAATTTTATTTTAAATTTTTTATTTAAATTTTTAAATAACCATATTTCTTTTTTAAATTTTTTATTATATATTTATTAGAATTATTATTTTAATTTTAATTTATATTATATATTAAATTTCTGTTTAAATATTTATTTGAATTTTCATTTAAATTTATATTTGAAATTTTTATCAAATATTTAGTTAAATTTTTATTCAAACTTTTTTTAAAATTTTTATATAAATTTTTTATTAAATATTTAATTAAATTTTTTTTCAAACTTTATGATTAATTTAATGAAATTTTTAATAATAATAAAATTAAAAATTTAATAATCAAATAATCAAATTAAAAATTTAATAAATTTTTAATTTGAGTTTCAATTTAAATTTTATTTAAACTTTTATTTAAATTTCTGTTTTATTTATTAATTAAACTTCTATTTAAAGTAAATAGAAGAATACATATTCATTTAAGTTATTTAATAAATTTCTATTTAAATTCTTATTTAAATTTTTATTTAAATTTATAATTAATTTAAAATTAAATTTTTATTTAAATTTTATATAGATTTTTAGTTTATTTTTATTTAAACTTGTATTTAAATTTTCATTTGAATTTTTATTTCAACTTTTATTCAATTTTTTATTTAAGCTTTTTGTTAAATTTTTATTCAAATTATTAATCACATTTATTTTTATATATATTTTGTTTTATATATTTATTTTTTAGTTTTTTTGAACATGCCTCAAAACAGTCGAAATTATTATATATTTTATATAATTGTTTTTTTTTATTACTTAGGTATATTTCATAATATAGTATTTCTAAGATCACAATTTGTTAGTTATTATTTTTAATTAATACTCTTCTTAAATTATTTTTTAAAATTATATTACATTTTTTTACCATTTCCTACACTTTTTAATACCATTTCGATTTCACAGACCTTAACTCAAGCCACAATATTAACTTAGGTGGTGCTTAGGTCAGTATATTGCTGATTTAATTGATACGGGTACTTACATCACTTTCAAAACTCTATATAGAGCGCTACCTTAATTCTAAATAAGAAAGACACCGAACTTATGGGAGGACAAGTAAACAATGTTTCTCTAAAACTCCGCAAAGAAAATCAGAGAACATCCGGGTGTTTCCGCTGCAATTAAACGCAGAACAACTTTTAAAAAATACGGAAGACGACTAAAGTCCTACTGATAGCTGACTTTTATAATTTGTTATTAAAAGTGTGTCTGTCCATTGTAGAGTTCAGTACTTTATTTCATTTTTCAAAGTCTATCTTCCGGATAGAGGAGTATTCGTAATTCTTATTCAAAATAAGTCTGTCGGAGAGCTAAGTATATTTTTTTTCTTATTGAAAGTCTAATTTCGAATAGATGAGGAAAATTAGTTTTTATTCGATTTGAGTTCATTTGATAACTGAGTGCTCTAATTACTTATTAAAATTGTGATTCCAAATTGCTGAGCATTTTTTACTTTTTATATAAAGCGTGTCCTGAGTAATAGCTGAGTATTGATATTACTTCTTTAAAACGTATTGTTCGAATAGTTGAGTATTATTATTTCTCACTTTACGTTTACCTATAGGTAAGTTGACTATTGTATAAATATCAGCTTATCATATTACCGCTTTATACTCTAATTCTTTTCTAGGTGGTGGAAAAGGGTTACATAAAACCTCTTTTAGGCCGGTTTACACTCACAATAAAACCATAACTCATAATAATAGTTATACTAGTGATACTATTAGCTTATAGGTTTGTGATAAAGTAAATGCAGTTGAGTTGTAATATTTAATATCATAAGGCAAGATATTCTAATCACCACTGTTTCAAGTTCAACCGATTCCATTTATGGCGAATTTTTAATTGCGCCTACTAATAATCAATATGCTTCATGTTGTAGAAGAGACTAGTAGTTCTAGAGAGAAAAGACTAATAGAAGAAGTTTTAATGTTTTTTAATATTTTATGCATACATATCTTTATTTATTACACATTATCATGATATGATTGTATGCTAATATGATAGCCCAAAAAGCAAAATTCTGGCTACAATCCTAACCGTCAATATAGACTTTCTCTGTGTAATTACTTTCAACAAATACCACTTACAAGCAGGCTGAAGATCTACTCTTTCTTTATTGATTAAAGCAGTTAACACTCATGCCATCCAGTGCTAGGATTGTCTTGAGAATATAGAAAAAAATATGTAATACTAATTACTTATTACAGTAATTACAGTAATATATATTTTTGGGTATTCAACACTCATATTTTTATTACAATTCTGATATATTCGTCAGGCATTTATAGGGTAACACTTGTACATAGAGCGTTGCCCTTTTGACTACGCGTATTTCATTAAATTAAAATAATAATGCTATTAATAATAATAATAATAATAATCTTGTATTTCCCTGTTCCCTTGAAATGCACACTTGGTAGTTTCGATTTAATAATCCCGTTTAACTTCACCGAAACATCTGTTGAGGGTCTTCGGAATGTGAATTTAATTGTGCATATCAGCCTGAATATTGCTTGGAATAATTGGGGTATTTAGCATGCCAATTGACATGAATGTTAACAACATGCTGCATGTTGCCATCGAACATGTTGTATGTCGCATAACATTAATTGAACAATTGTTATGAATAATGCATATCATGAACTCACACAATGCGCGAGCATGTGAAGCGCCAGAAAAAAGTTAGTTGATTATAAAAAAATTTTTTATATATTTATTATAAAAAAAAAAATCCCTTAAATATAAAAAACGATAACGAGAAATATTTAAATAAAATTTTTCTTATTAAAATATAAAAATATTAAAATAATTGAAACGCGCTAAAACTAATATGCGTTAAATAAAATGCATCTCCAGCTTCTATTGAGACTGTTATCAGTCACCATTTCTGGAACAGATAAATGGAGCTATAGAGAAAGCGACGGACACAAAGACAACTATTTGACCAATCAGTTTGTGAAGTTCTTCGTTTCGATTGGTTAATGTGAAAGGTTGCTATCAGGCAACCTTTCAATAATATTCGCTGATATCGTATGCGCGCCGTAGTCGATTTCCAAACGGAAGTCACCATACTGTATTCTCCAGAATGATGTCAAAGGGAGTTACACTAGAAAATTTTTATTTTGGCCGTATTTTTGATGTGTCTAATCTGATGATTATATTGA